ATATATATATCTTTTCAGCGATATTTCGATACATAATACAAATTGTCAGTTCATGACTAAGGAAAACATATCGAAGAACGAAGAATCGCTCCCATAGGATTTCCAGATCCTTGGAGAGAAGAACGGACTGCCCCACCCGGCCATCTGTTGCACGCGAGAAATCGGAAAACGCTTTCCAGAATCAAGTCGACATATGGCACACGGGCAGACAGATTTATCTTTAGACAAAAAAAATACAGTTCAGTCATGGGGTACTATCTGCCAAAAATGTTGAAAAGATGGTAAGAGGAAGATGATTACTCTCTATTTTATAAAGAGCTAGGTTAACGCCAAAAGAAAAAAAAATGAGTGCAAGGCAAAGCAAAAAACAGTAATTAAGCGATTCTTTGTTACACAGTTATAGCACATGTATTCAGTACCTGCTTTACCTTAATGTTATTTACCATAAAGTAGAGATCTGATATTTCGAACTGATGCAATCAAATATTGCAATAGGTGTGATATACCAACCAAAATAATGTCATATCGATAAATATAAGTTTACAATCACTGATCTTGCAAGAAAGTTGCAAGAAAGTTCTAATTAAGGAAGTAGTTAACACTTCTTGCTACACACGCGCGTATTTATCCATGTATGTATCGATTTATAGCATCATAAAGCCATATTCTGTTCCAGATTGCATTTTAGTTCCTTGCCCCATTACCTGCTGTATATTTTAAGGAATATGCAAATCAGGATCAACGCTTCAAGAACGTTTCAGACAGACAAGATTCGTGCGAGGCTACAGAGTAGATGCTCAGAATCTGAGGTCTTTCTGAAATCTCTCAAGAGCGAGGAAAGTGTCTACTTAGAGTTTCGAGTCATTCATTTAAGTAACGAACTGACAAAATACACGACAACGCACTTATAAAATGCTGCTAAGTTTTTATGTATGTACATATGATCCCTGTCAAGATATTTTAAGCCCTCCTCGCATGACTAGAGGCATGATCTTTTTAACAGCGGTATGTTTTTAATACATCAATAAAAAGATACTAAATCTTTAGTTCTACCAATGTATCAGACAGCTAATATGTCGAAGTAGAGTATAAAGTTACAGAACAAAAAATTATGATTTATCTATGATATGTGATATATTATAGACTATAGATATATACTATAATGACATCTCGTAATATTTAATATATTTTAAATTTAATATCAAAATTTAATAAAGCTTGATCGGTTTCATTACAAAATTTATATATATATAGCGTTCTACTGTAGATTACGTAGATCAATTTATTGCGGAAATAATTTAAGCGGAACAGATACCTTAACATCCATCGGGCAAATCGATACTTTTATCGATTGGCAGCCAGTATCGCGTTCCAGGAAGAATTGGGCACCGAGAAGGATCGTGTGTGCCCCGCTCTGTATTGAAATTCAAATTAAAAATCCCCGATCATAAAATTATCCCCGAAAAACGAAAAGCCGAGCGAGGTGCGCCGAGTAATTTTCGAGTAATTTCGTGATGGGCTCCGATCTCCCCTTTCCATGCTCCCCTTCCTTTGGATCCCTCTTCTGAGCAATCCTGCTAGAAAATAATGACCTGTGCCGCCGGCGACCATATGGTCTTCTCTCTTCGGTACGACGAAGTGCACGAGCGAAACTTTGGGGCTTTGACGTATCTCAGATACCGCCAGACACTTCTGCTACTCTCGATGATGGATCGACGCGCGTCTCTGGATCGAACATGACCAAGTTACTAGAACGAAGGTAGGAATTTCAAGATGCGTTATTTTGAATTTTCCAAATGAATTCGAACGATTTATGCTGTTTTCTAACTCCGCTTCTTACATAAGAAGAATTTTGCTGTAATTTTGATGTAATATTTTGTATAACTTATTACTTTAATAGAATTCTTTTTGCGTAAGAGGCGAGAGTAGAAAACAGTGTGTAAGTTGTTTGATTTTTAATCTTTGGTAAAGAAAAGTTAATTGAAAACGAGAATTGAGAATGGTAGAATTTCTATCAATTCGTTTTCTATAAGTTTATATTATTTTCTGTCATTGATCTCGCGAGCATCACGATTGATCAGATATGAATCCTATTGTATTTTATCGGATTCTATAAGATTTGTATAAGATTTCTATAAGATCTGATTTAAATTAGTGAATTTACGAATTAAATTTTCTATTTAAAATGAAGGTTTATCTATTGTTCTCTATCAACTTTTTTTGCTAGGAATATTTCTTAAATTAATTTATGCCACTTTGCAATCCGCCTTATCTTATACAAATACTCTAAAATATAAAAATTCTGTTAAATTTTGTTATTAAATCTATCTATATGTAATTCTTTATATGTAATTTTATAATTTAAATCAAGTATTAAGTATATTAAATTTGTCTATCACTTCAGAATAATCTCCACGGATTATGACGATGGCAAATTCTCGAATGGTTTATCCCAAACAAAATAAAATCTCGCCTGCGCATCCACTTTCATCTTATCGAATTTAATTTCCGTCCATCCCGCATCCAACAGTGTTCTATCTTTTCGTTTTTTTTCTTCCGTTCTTTCTGTCTATAAAATATGCTAAACGCCCGCGGATAGCCACGACGCTCCCACCGACACTGTTATTTACGAATTACGAACGTTGTAAACGATGAAGGAGCATAATGATCGCACGATGAGATTCTGGCCAATTTTGCCACTTCGAGCTTTACTGCGTAACTTTAATGCGGTTAAGTTCGATATGCGCCCTACTGGGGTTCCTAGGATCGATTATCGCTTGATTATCCATCACTGTGTTATTTTTTAATTCAAGGTAAAAAATTGTGATTTAAAATTATTGTACATTGTAATATGTAAATATTTTTTTACATATTCTAAGTTTAAAAAAATTTATAATTAAAGTAACAAAATGTAAGGCTCTAAAGAATTTAAATTTAATATTAAAAATATTAAGGCTATTCAAACGGTATTAGATATCATATGCCAGTTATAATACAACTGTACAAGAAAATAAATCAAATTTCAAACGGTTTGACCTTTAATATGGTCATCTTTAATAATACATATTTAAAAAAACCAAGTGCATCTTAATTTCTCTTTGTATTTAATTCAAATTGATGTATTAACAATAATTGCGAGTCTCATTATGTGTAAATCTTATATCTCAAGGATGATTCTTCAATCACAGTATTTTGTATTGAATCATGTCTATACATTATCCCTGAGTTAGTTGATCCATAATATAAATTATATGAAACGTCTTTGTTAGTCAAAAATCGTTAAAATAATAACAGAAGTAAAAAAATTGTTTAATGTTTTAAAAAAATTCTTTATGTAATGCATGTATAATTTAATTTTATAGAATCAATATATATTCAACATAGATCATAATTATCTTTTAAAAAAGTAGAAAAAATTGACATCTTTGCTCGTATAAAAAATTCTTTTTGTGGTTTGCGTGATTTTCGCGATTTCACAGTTTTACCCTCAGCGACGATTAGGTAGTCAGTCCAATACAATTCTCCTTTTCATCACAAAATGGTGAATCCAACAACATTGAAACAGATGGGATATATATGCACGTGCGTGCGAATATTAGCTGCATTACCTTTTGTGGACGCTTTTGTCATGCAAGTATTGTAATCATGAGAGAGACATACAGCAAATTAACGGCGTGTGAAGAACACGGAAAGCATTATTCTTTTGTGTATTGACCAATTTGGAGATTTGCATGTGGCTTTATACTTGCAGTTCACATTTACATGCAATACATTTATACACAATATTATATAAAATGCAAAAATTATACTATATCCAGTTTAGCAGGTTTTCG